GTTCGGGTTTTCTCCCGCGTAAGATTCGAAGTATCTAGGCAACGTTTCGATGAAGTCTCATTCATCATCTTCAGGCTTCTGTCTTCGGCTCTGTGCTTCTCAGAGTGATGAATGAGACTTCATCGAAACGTTGCCTAGATACTTCGAATCTTACGCGGGAGAAAACCCGAACAACCAAAGATCTATCTATCTATCTATCTATCTATCTATCTATCTATCTATCTATCTATCCATACATACATACATACATACATACATACAGAAGCCTGATGATGGCAGATGAGATTCTGCCGAAACGTTGCTACAACTTTAAAAGCACAACTACAATGACGTGGGAAAATACCCGAACAAAGCTGAATGCCATACATGTAAGTACCCGCGAAAACTTAAGAAAACATATATATGTATTTGTTTTCGTAGATTTTCACGGCTACAAGTATGCAGGTTTTGGCCTGTTCGGGTCTTTTCCCGTGTAAGATTGAGGGCATCTTGGCAATGTTTCGACGAGGTCCCACTTGCCATCTTCAGGCTGGTGTTTTCGGCGAGCTGCCAAGCCTAACACACAAGATTAAAAAGAACCCTATACACAAGCCTGAGGTTGACAAATGAGATTCTGCTGAAATGTTGATATAATAAAAGCACAAATATTAAGACGTGGGAAAATATCCGAAGAAACCTAAATACTAGATGTATGTAAGTATGTATGTATGTATTTTTGGGGTAGGTCATATTTTTTAAGGACACACGGTAACCTGCTTTAAGGAAGCTGTTGTTTTAACGCTGAGCTCGTGTGTCCGCCTTTCTCTTGGCTTGAGTTTTTTTTATTTGTCGAAATATAAAATACAAAGAAGAACAAAATAGTGGAAAACTAAGAAAAGGGGGAGGGAAAAGAACAGAAATATAGTGTAAAGGGAGAAAATGAAAGAAAAAGGCACCGACTTCCAACTCATTAGAGAAGATTGTAACATGGCAACCACAACTTTTTGCTTTTACACAACAGTATGCACCAGCCATTTCTATAACAATAATCCCCGTCTGGTTAACAAACTCTTTTCTTTCATTCATTTTTTTTTCATTGCAAGCAATTTTAGAATAGGGACAAAGTGAAGATATAAATTTTCTTCTTTGGATAAAAGAATCCATTTGTTCCCCCTCCGCTTCTCTTTGTTGTGGGGAACCATATTTTTACCTGATTGCAGCTGCTTGATAATAAACTCAATCTGCTGGATCATATCGGCATTTCCTTCCTCGATGTAGCATCGGAGAATGTCTTCCATTTCCTGCAACGGGTTGCAAAACAAACTTGTGTTAGTTGAACCGAGGGGTGACCTGGCCCGGGGTCAGTTTTGCCGGCGATGCACACAGGGCCTGCGGGGGGGGTTGGGGGGGTGCAGGCAGAGGGACACACCCAGCAGATGAGGTCCTGTCTGCAGAACAAACAGAGGTGAATTCTAAGAGGCTTCCCCAGAGAAGAGAGGGTCAACCTCTTCTCCGAAGCCCCTGAAGGCAGGACAAGAAGCAACGGATGGAAACTGATCAAGGAGAGAAGCAACCTCGAATTAAGGAGAAATTTCCTAACAGTCAGGACGATTAACCAGTGGAACAGCTTGCCACCAGAAGTTGTGGCTGCTTCAACACTGGAGGTTTTTAAAAAGAGACTGGATAGCTGTGTCTGAAATGCTATGTGACCTCTTGTTTGGGGTTTGCATAGAAGAGTGGTCACACAACCAGTGGGCCAGGGACCACTGGTGGTCCGTGAGAAAATTTTGGTGGTCCGCAGAGAATAGTCACCCCCAAAGCAACCCGCTAAGCAATTAATCCAGGCTGCGCAGAAACACAAGGCTTGCGTCGCTTGCATTGTGAACAGCATGAGGTAGTGATGGGATGGGGGGAAAGGCGGAGGGAGGGGAACTTGCCTGGCCACCGGGCTGCTTCTTTCTTCTTCTACTTTTGGCTGCACGCAAGGAAAGCAGCCAAAGTCTTTCTTTCTCTCCCCCAAACTCTGTCAGAAATGAGTCTTTGGGACCCTGCAAGGCCTCCTGCTCCAAGAGGCTGCGCCGGCAAAGACTCTTTTCTGGCGGAGTTTGGGGGAGTGAAAGAAAGACTTCTGCGGCTTCCCTTGCATGGAGTCAAAAGTTAGTCAGTCAGTCAGTCTCTCTCTCTTCCTCCCTCCCTCCTTCTTTCCTTCCTTCCTTCCTTCCTTCCTTCCTTCCTTCCTTCCTTCCTGCCTGCCTTCCTTCTTTCCTTCTTCCCTCCCTCCCCTTCCTTCCTTCCTTCCTTCCTTCCTTCCTTCCTTCCTTCCTTCCT